ACAAACTGGCACCTAATGCAGCTCGCGGAGCAGAGGCGTTACATGGGCCCTCCTTGGGGCTCCAACAATACACTGTCTGTCCAATGCTGAAATGCGACTCATACTGGACACCTATACTGTACTAGTATGCTGTAACCTATGATATTAAATAGGCAAACAAAATGATTTCAGTTATTTCTGTATTGGAAGGTTTAATTTTAGAAGCAAAAAGACAACGGTCAAACCAGAAAGTAACTTGACCTCCATTGCTTTGCAGACAGCAGAGAAGACTAAGAGTTGTTAATATATTATGTAAATTTCCAGGGAGAACAGGAACATTCTGTGGTGTAGCAGCTGTCATATCTATAGCTCTGTTGGCTTGCTACAGACAGAGTGGGAGAATTTTTAATTTCTTCTCCCATTAATTCCAATATAAGGGAAATAATCATACCAGCCCCAGGACCAGTATAGTTCTAAACGATTTGGAGAAATGTTGGGAGAATAAGATGCTTGGCTTCTATAGGGCAACCACCACTTCTGTCATATTCTGTATGAATGTATCTTTTTAATGGATGTCATACCTCTCTTGGAGATACCCCCTTTGAAAAAGACAAAGTGTAGGATCATACTCAGAATGCATCTGCAGATTTATAGCAATAAAAAGGTGCCTGGACAAATAGTGCTAATCTTTATCTTTCATATGTTGGTGATGTATGGCAATGGTGTGATAGGTTCAAAAAGTATTTCAAGTAGGATAATTCTTAAAATGCAACAGTACAATATTTGTATGAAAACTTTGATTAGTTCTATTTTAAAATTCAGAATCAAAACAAATGCTTTGTTTACTACAGAGTTTAACTAAGATATACCTTAATGTCTTGACTAAAGTTGCTTATTTTCTTCCAGCCAGCATTATCCAGATGGTAGTTAACCCAGCGTAGCAGGAGTTCTTCTGGAGACAATTTCATTAATTGCTCTAATTCTTCCCCATCATTTAGCAAACCAATAAGAGCTGGAAAAGGTTTTCAAGAAATATTAGCTGGTTTACTCTCTATTATTACTCTTTATTATTCTATTCCAGAACTTCTGAGGGAAACTTCTGGAACTTCTGAAGGAAAACAAACAAAAGAATATGCTTAAGCTATAGAATTTATTACTCCTGATAGGTTTTTAAAATTCTTACCTTCATTTCTGGAGATTTCTATATCAGAAAAAAGCCCAACTTTAATGATTTGCCACAATAGTCCTAACACCAAATGTGGCTTCCCGTCTTTTAGATCTTGCGATCCAATGTTAACTACTGTACAGCCAATAGCTGATGCAGAATTTAGTGCTAGATCTAGATTTTCCTAAAAGCAAAGTAAAAACAATTGTTTGTTAGACAGAAATAAACAGATGTACAACTGAACATGAGACAGACTAAGAAAGGATTTCACAAATCAACTGGCATTCGAACTGTTTTCAATTTCAGTTCAAATGTTTGAAAAAATGAAAGTGAACATTTAATAAATTATTCTATAATATTAAGTATGTCTTTGAAAGAGCTGATAGAGGCCCTTCTTAATATTGCTATTATTAATATATGTTTGCTTTCTTAGAAACTTAACAACATAAATATTACCATCAAAACTCAGAATATGCATATGCTAGGATTTCCCAAAAATTGCTATACAACTATGTTATCTAAACAAAATAAATAATGTAAGAAAAATTAAGAGAGGAAAGTTAAATAAATAAAGCCCTTAGTATCAGATATGAAAATATATGTACTATATGTTGCGCATGGAAAAAAGAATCATGCTGATTCTCACCAGGCAGAAACAATAAGTAGTTTGGTTAGGGGGAAAATATTAAATTGGAGGTAGTTCTAAAATCATACATTGGATGGGATAGAAAGAAGAAAACGTCTCAAAGTAATATGTCTGAAAACTGACAAGATTAGCTCATAGGACATCCAGGTACACAGAGATAGGAATACTCTTCCATAATCTACTAAAATTGCAGTTAGCCTTCACACAAAATAGCAAGGAGGAAGAACTGACCTGGGGACAGCATATTATCATTACTAGCAACCTAATTCATGAAATTGAATTATAGAACTATATCATGGGTGCTTGACCACACAATCCTTACCATCACATTAAAATGTTTAGTCAGCAGACTATATAACTCTTGCAAAAATTTAAACTCTTGCAATAAATTAAATCTATGAAGTAGTAAGTTTGAGCAATTATTTGAGGAATAACCAAAAAGAGAAATCATGTCCTTCTCCCTCACAAATGATACCCACACAACTACAATCCACAGTGCAATTAAAATATCATTTATTTACTCTGTAAACGTAATAGTCATAACAAAAGTGGTACTAGAACAACTTGAATTGGTGTATTCTACAAACATGTGTTACAAATGTGGTACAGACAGAAATATGTGCCAAATTATGTGCTAGAAATGAAAAACTGGGTTGCTTTAGCTTTGCAGAAAAAAAAAAAATCCAGAAAGATCCCTGGAAGTTGTTAATACTCAAAGGTTCACATATATTAATGGATTTAATACAATAGAGATACATACAGTAAGTTTAAATAACTAGAAATATCACAGTTTATTGCCTTGTTTTTATATGCATTCTTGTTGCTTTCAATCTATAATCAGAAGCAAAAAAAGCCAAAATACAAAAATTAAAAGGAATACAAGAAAACAGAAACAAAAATAAAGAAAAATGCAAAGAAAAATAATGAAAGGGGAAAAAAAGACATGCTCAGTACATTTATGTACAATTGAAACTCAGGTCTTAAACAACAAATTAAACTTTGGCTACCCAGAGTCATATTGATCACACTTTCTGCAATATCAATAAAAAGTCATTTCCTATGCTGAAAGTATTCTCTCCTAAGGGTTTTGTCTTTTCACTGGAGTAAAACAAACTTCTTAGCTACAGCCCATGAACGATAAATCCAAAGATCCTCATACTTTGGAAATTTCTAGGATTTGGGAATATAATTTAACATCACATTCACATCTTTATCCTTATTTCTTTTCCCAATATGCTATTAACAAACTTATGGTTATTATACCAAAATGTCATCAATGTAGAACAACTCTAAAACATAAAGTCTGTGTCATTTCCAAAATGCTACATATGAGTTTGAAATCTAATCCTAACCCCACATTTTTCTGGGGTGCACAATAAACATGAAAGAGAATCCTCTGTTGAATTAATTGCATCCTGAGATCATAGAATACCAATGTGGCATTTTTAAAATTCTAGCACATTGTTTTGTTAAAATAGGATGTTCTAACTAAGCGAAAGTTCTCCTATATTTATCTTGATACAACTTTTCAGTTGTAGATTAAAATTAATTGTATATTCAGAAACTTCCAAAAACCTTTTCTAACAATTTTAATAATTCAGGAGTTTCAGATTCTGCTCATGCATCAGGCCCAAACTGTAAAATCAAAACACATTTCAACTGGATACGTTACAACTTAGCAGTTTTAAAGAAACCACATTCTTCTAAATATTTTAAAATACTCATTAACTATAAGCTAATCTAAAGAATCAGTGCCATTTCTCACCCAAAATGTCTGGCTTGGGCAAGAAATGTTCAGGCTTAGATTATCTCATAATGAAATTTTACTTGATGGTTATGATCAAATTTTAGTGTCCTTCCCAACATAGTCCATTTAAGTCTTGGCTTGCAATTTATTGCCTTGTTCATCCTCTTAATTGCCATTCAACTACTTAGATTTTGACTGTGTTGTACTTACAGATACAGTGAATGCAGTAAGCTTCTTCTTATTAATAGCTCTTTCATCAATTGTATCTGGCTGAGATAAATTAATCATTTTGCTATGAAATTAAAGAAAAATAATTATTAGTGCAATGTGGAAGAAATTCAGTGTAAAGTGATTTAAAAGATTGGCATATTTAATTTATCCATAAATGTGAACATTAAATAGCAAAACATTTAATGGAGATATACGGAAACAAGATAACATAACTGCTAATGTTTCCAGAAGTGGAACAACATCATAACACACAAAGCTGGAATTCATTTAGTTTTTTAACACATTCATGTTCAATGTTTATTAACTGAAGCATCTGCTTAGCACTTAGAAACCACACACAGAGGAAGAAGCATAAATATGCAAATGTATACGCACATTCATGTAACATACAGTTTCTCTGTGTTAAGATGGAAGATGACAGAGCTGTCTTTAACTCAGCATGAAAAATGAAGGCAATGGTCCTTAGGATACTAGCACCCTGCTAAAAACAGTTAGCTTAAGTCTGATTTTCAAAAGCTTATCCTTGGGTAATTGCTGGGATCAGTATAGATTATATTAAAGCACTCTATATACTGTTAAAAATAGCAGTCTTTGTTCATTCATATCCAGAATGGAAGGGGGGGGGGACTGACTTTTCCTTCGTAGAACTCCTCAATGAGACTGCTAATAGCAGTAGAGAGCAGCAGCAATGGGGAACTGTATGGGATGCTGCGACCGCACAGGATTCGCCTAATGATAGCAACTGGGACTGCCAGAACTGCCTTCACGAGTTGGGGCAGTCACATGACATTGTGCTTTATGACCACGTTGCTTAGTGACAGAGTTCCCGGTCCCAATTACCATTAGTAAGCGAGGACGACCTGTATACGCTCTAATTTCTATTGATTTCAATGAAAGAATTCAGAATTTGCTTAAGTTTTCTACTAAAATAAATGGAGCTTATCCTATCAAAATTAAGCAATGTTAATGCCTTAAGAACTCACCAGCCAGTTTTTTGGTAAGCATTTTTAAAAAAACTGAACATACCAAAGAAGGATACCATCAGCAAGTGAATTAAAAAGGCTGTCATCTGATGGATCCATAGGGAGACAATGTTTGCAGTCAGGGTCATCTTTAAGAGCTTTATTTATCCAGTTAACAAATGCAACCTTTTCTTCTTCTGCAAAATAGAAGAGGAGAATTCATTTTAAGAGCAGTCTAGCAACACATGTGCCACAGACTCAACCTTGCTGAAAAGCACCTGCAAAAGGAATATTGTATTATGTATCCGTACTAACCATTGAAGGCAGGACATCAAATTGCGCGAATGTGAATGCTTTTCTTTGTGTGGCATGAAGAATATGATAAAAATATTTAGGTATGAGAAAAGGAGCACCCACCAACTCACAGTAATAAATATGTGACATTTTTGGTCTGTCCTTTTGAACATCTAAGCGCAATTCTCTCTACTTAAGCTCTGCCAAAGCTTTATCTGGACCTCTTTATCTAGAGGTGATAGCTATAATAAGAACGTATTAAGAAAAATCCAAGTCTATTTGCTTTTTCAAGGAGGAGGTATAATGATCAAAAAGTGTACAGTCAACCAAGGACACACCCCAGAATATTTGTTTTAGCCAGCCTAGCCTCAAAAATGACATAGCCAAGTTCCAAATGGGAGAGTGCATTTATTGTTAATCGAGGGACATGGAGAACAGCCTTTACTTCCTGGGTAGAAGTGTCCTTTTATGCACAGACTTGCGCACCATATAGCAGCAAAAGACCTTCATTTAAAATAATTTGATTGCTGTTCCATTATTTTTACATCTGATTTGCATAAAGGTGTTCCTATGCAGCAGTATTATCAGCCTGAGAAGATGATGGTCAATGGAAGAAGCAGCTAACTTTTTCCACAATCTAATACATTATTAGGAATTGTCTGATATTATATTGTTTTATTTTTATATTGATTTATATTCTATGTAATTTTAATTTACCCGTATGATATTTATTTATAAGCTCATGCTACTACTACAACTACCACCAAATCAGTGATTTTCCAGCTATGGTCCAAAGAACTAACATTCTTCAGACATTAATGAGAAAATCAGTGTAGAAAACTATATTTCCTAATAGTTACTTGAGAACTGCAAGAGATCATTCACTGAAATTCACATTAGGAAAACTGAGGGTGTTCTGAGGCATAGTCAGTTCATAAAAAGCATTTTACAGTATCCACTGCTATGAGGAGGAGTTCAATGATATAACCAGCTAGCAATTAATTTTGTTTGTATGCTAAGCTCATTCCTGTCCCACTGAAAAGAATGTAGTCGGCAAACCTCTTTTTAAAATAAAAAATAATGCTCACGGAGATGCTAGGATTCTGATATCTTACACCATCATATGATTAACATGCATTTGAAAGAAATGGTTCTGCCTTCCTTTGTATTTTCCCAATAACTTGCAAAAGTTTAAGTGCAAGGTGTCTGAATCCAGCAACCTGTATTATGACCATAAAACTCCTGAAAATCAAGCTGTTTTTGAGAACCCTCCTCAAATTGAGAGTTCTCAATTTATACAATATCATTGTTGCTTTAGTGTTAATGTTGTTTTATTGTTCCTATTATTATTGTCAATTTTTAAGATGTTTTAAATTGTCTTGTTTTATGTAAACCACTGAAAGTCTTTCTTATTGCAGTGGGATAGAAATATGCATGATAAATAAATAAGGCCAGCAGTTGGAAACAAGAGAAGAGGTAAAAATGAAAATATGGAAAAATAGAAAGAAAATTAGTACAAATTTTCAGACCTGAGGAGAGGTGGATAATGCATAGAAGCCAAAATCCTCAGTGCCCTTCTCATTCCAACCTGGGAGATAGATATTATCATGATGTTGTATGCGTATAAAAGAGCTGGAACCACTCAGCCTGCTAATTCAGAGAGGGACTGTATTATTGGGTTGATATAGTATTATTATTATTGGGTTGATATAGTATTATTGGATTGATATACAGGTTCTGCTGTACTGTCTCACTGTGGCAGAGAGGCGGCCCTCAGAGGGATGAGTGAAGAATGCCAGGAATATATGCCAAGAGTATATATTCCCAGCAAGGTCCCCCAAGATGTGAGGGTTATTGTGATGGAATCTATCTACAAAGAGGAGGGTAATGTGAGAAATCAAGGCTATCAGAAAGGAGGGGGTACATTCCAGGAGGGAAAAGGAGACAAGAGACAACACAGTCCACAGGGGAGGTGTGGGAAGCAAAAGAGGTTCAGGATAGCCACTCCCTACAAGCTCCCAGGGTGTATCCACTAGTTGCAGTAGTATAGATTTAGTCTGGCAAGATTCTGTCTATAAGGTGTAAGCAAATAAAGGAACTTTACTCAACTGGACTGTTTCACCGTTGTTCTTGGGCTGGGCCTGACAGTTATCCAGTTCCCCAACTAAAGCAAGCAGGTATTTATAATGGGCAGAAGTGATATAGGAAAACGTTGAAGGCACATGATCATTTTAGTGACAATTGCAAAGGCAACAATTCATACTGTGCAGGAGAAGATAATGGTAAACCACTCCTGCATTTTTATCAACAAAACTACATGGATATAAAATATAAAATGATTGATGATATAGTGCCAGATTGATGATATAGGGCCTCAGATATCACTCAGCATGTTACTGAGGAAGAGCTGAGAATCTTTTGGAGCACTAATGGTTTTTATGATGTGGTTAGATGAAACCTTTGGGATGTCTAGTTTCTCACAAGAAAATCAGAAGCTGCAGTGGGAACATAGTACTTAGGAAGTATGAACATGGTTCAACACAGTGAAAGATGAAATGAATCAACTACACACTGACATCTTAGGCATCAGCAAAATGAGACAGACTGGAATTAGACACTTTCAGTCAGAAGATCACACTGTTTACTACTGAGGACATGAAAAACAAAGAAGGAATGGCACTGATTTTTTCTTAGGAAGAGTATAGCAAGAATACTATTGGCTACAGTACAATCAATGACCAAATAATACCAATTAGACTTTGTGGACAACTCTTTCAAATGACAAACATGTAACTTCATGCTCCAACCACTGATGCTCAGAAGAGGTTGATGAGATTTGTGATTGAGTTCAATTGGAAAGTGACAGAACATGCAAGCAAAATATGCTGCTTGTGACTGGAGACTGGAATGCCAAAGTTGGAAATATTAAGGAAGAAAAAGTAGTTGAATTGTATGACTTAGGAAACCAAAATGAAGCAGGAGAATGACATAGGCATTTCTGCCATTCCAATGATTTCTTTATAGCTAACATTGTCTTCAAACAACCAGAAGGTACCTGTACACATGGACATCACCAAATGGAGACATAGAAATCAAATTGACTATATTATTGCTAAAAGGAGGTGGAGGGGGTCAGTTATAACATCAAAGATATGTCAGGTGCTGACTGTGGAATAGTTCACAAACTGCCTAAGTGCAAGTTCCAAGTTAAGCTAAAGGAGAAGAACAAAGCCAACTAGTTTTCACAATATGAACCTGAGCATACACCCACCATTTCCAAGGAGAATATCAGAAATTGCTTTGAAGACCAGAACCTAATTTATAGAGAACCAGAGGACCTGTGGAATGAACTTATGTCATTAAGGATGAAGGTGAAAAAGACTGCCAAAGATTTAAACAAAAAAACAGAAGAAAGCAAACTGGATGTCAAAATAAACTCTGGAATTTGCAAAGAAGAAAGGAGAATCCAAAGCCAAGAAAGACAAAAATCTCAGAAACAAACTTAAGAAAAAATTTCAGACAGCTGTTAGAAGCAAGAAAATCTCTGAAATCGGGAGGTTCCAACCTCAATTGGTATGCTAAATGATGCCAATGGCAGATAGTAACTGATTCAAAGGAAGGATTATACTGAAACAGTGTACAATAGAGATGTCAACATCCAAGATACCTTAGAAGATATTCCCTGTTTACAAGAATCTTTAGTACGAGAAGATGAAGTTAGCTCAGCACTCCAGTCATCACCAAGCTGGAAGGCTACAGAAACTGATGGAATACCCACAGAAATATGGCAAGCACAGAAGAAGTTTCAGTAAAAGTTCCAGCAAATCTGGAAAATGACACATTGGCCAGCCAACTGAAAGAGTCAATCTATATTTTAAAAAAGAGGAGACTTAACAGAGTGTGAAAATGATACACAATATCCTTAATTTCCCATGCTAGCAAAATAGTGCTTAAAATTATCCAACTGAATTAAAGCCCTACATGGAAAAAGAGGTGCCACATGTTCAAGCTGACTTTAGAAAAGGCTGAGGAATGTGAGATGTTATTGCTGATGCATACTGGATAATTGAGAAAGCCAAAGAATACCAAAATTCTTTGAATATCACCAGGGACTCCACAGTACAACCTTGAGCTATATATATTCTCTTCTATAGAATGAGAGTTGTGCCCTGCTCTTTGGAGTCCTTGCTTGAGGTTGAAGATTGAGAAATGGATAAAATGAGACAGGGTAAAAAGCAGGGTGCTTTGGTCTGCAAAGTGATTCCTGAATAGCTTAAACATCTAGAGGAGGGGAAGCATTATTCAGAAGCCTCAACTGTGCAAAATGTGGTGGGGCAGGTAAGTATTGGTGCCAGTTATTCAGCACATGTGACACCACTGCTCCGTGAGCTGCATTGGCTTCCAGTGTGCTTCTGGGTACAATTCAAGTGTTGGTTTTCACCCTTTAAGCCCTTCATGGCTTAGGTTACTTAAGGGACCATCTCACTCCAATTGTTTTTATCCACCCAATTTGGCAGGAAGGACATGCTCTGGGTACTGTCAGCTAGGGAGTGTCAGCTGGCAGGTCCCAAAAGGAGTCTTTTCTGCTGTGGCACCCACACGTTGCAAATTAATTGCCTCTACTCTGTCTGGGTAATGACAGTTCCAGAGATATGTCCCCAGGAGGAACATCTCACTCTCAGAATGGTGCTGAAATGGATAATACTCAATCCAAGTTCTTCACTTTCCAGTCAATGTTCCAAAAAAAGATGGAGATTGTTGCGATTATGGAAAAATTAGCATCAGAGATCTCAGGAGATGCCATCCTCAGGGAGGAGATGGAACTAATTGAATAAAAGGGGGATCTAGTGAGTCAGTTGGGCAGTGGAGGACAAAAGTTTATTTATATTGAACAGGCCATCCAGTAATTATAAGAGCAGTATCCACATTCCAATATAAATGTTAATCCCGGCATTACATTCACAAAAACATTCCTTTGAACTCATTACAGCTTTTTTACCTGAGTAAGAATGCTGAGTCCCCTCACTGGAAATGGATGATGTTCCTCCAATTGCAGTAATCCCCAGTTTTTTGTTTATGGATTTTCGAAATGATTTGCTAATATCTTTACTTTTCAATTCCTGAATTACCTGGAACAAAACAATAGCAAATAGAACAGAAAATAATCAAAGAGCAGCCATGTCAAAGCATTACTATAATTGCTGACTTTCTTCTTCCTGTTTTTTTAGCACATCCACATAATTATTCCAACTAGATGAAGTATGAACACTATATCATGGAGTAAGTCAATTATAATTGGGAGTGGGGAGGGAGAGAGAAGCTGAAAGTAGAAAGAGAAAGGGACAAACTAAGGAGATTTATAATTGAGAAACAATTCTTTATTATTTAATTCCTTCATATTTGATCTTTTTTGATATAGGGGAATTAAAGTATTTTATATAATAATACACTAAAAAATCTTTTTTACCTAATCTATTATAGACAATTTGCTTATTCATATTGAAGATAAACAAACTGCATCAGAGATGTGCAAAAGACTGAAAGCTATTTCAGGCAGACTATGGCCTGGTAAGTTTTCTTCATGTTTTAACTCTGCAATTAAAAAAAAAAAAACTTTAAAATGTGAACGATGCATTACATACATAAGCTCCTTTCAGGAGCAGTATAAGAACCAGAGCAACAAGGTGCAAAATTGTCTAAGGTAATTAAGAATAGTCTTCCTGAAGAATATGAAGACATTACTGTACTAATTTTCTTCAGGTTAAAGAAAAGCACGTTTGAGTTTTGTCCAAGAACATTTAGAGCAGTTTAATTTCAGAAACTAAACTGAGAAAAGTTTAGGGTATGCAGCAGCAGAATATAGCGGCCCCTTCATCTTGGCCATGTTGTGCAGGGCAGCCAAAAGGACAGAGATGGGGGGTGGGAGATGGGTGGGTGGGTAGAGTTGAAGTGGAGGCAGTTTGCGCAGGGCAGGCGAATGTGATGGCGGGACACTGCAATAGTTGTAAGTGCAAGGACCGATTATAAGCCCATTTTTTAAGGGCTGTGTAACTTTCAACAGTCACTGAATGAATGGGCGTAACCCAAGGACTACCTGCATCTTTACAAGCCTCCTCGTAACTTATGGGGATGCAGTGTTACATGGCCTCAATCTTCCTTCTGTTGGCCCTACTTATGTGATATAGGTGACTCAACCATTCACTGTTTCAGGCATCCAACTCATGACACAGAATATGCACACGCACTTTTATGCATCAGTTACAGTATTTATATAGTTCTCCCAAGAAGCTATTGCTTCCTGTCTTTTGTTTTTTGTTTTGTTTCTGTTTTTAACTCCAACCCCATTTGGTGCACATTGATGACTATTTTCATGTTAAGAACATTATTGCTGTTTTCTGCTAGTCTGTGATCTGTGTAGTACATTTTTCTTTCCTGGGCCAAGTCATAGGATTTGGTGACTGTTGCACTAAATGTAACAGCCAACACTTCACAATCTATTGTAATTGATATATGTTCATAGTCTTCTGTAGCAAAAGAACATGAAGATCCATGTGCTGCCCTGAAAATCTTCAAAAGTACAGATAAGAGTACATGTGGTAAGTTATAACTATTAAAACAGTCTTCTATTCATTTTCAAAACTGAATCTTTAAATTATTATTTTGAGAGCCTCTGGTCAAAAGCTCTCACTAAGCTGCTAAAGTTGGGTGACTAATAAATTTAAATAAATAAATACTGTGAAAGTTACAAAACAATGGTATCATATAGCCATTCCTCAACTAATATGACAGGCCAATCAGTTCTTGATTGTACATGTACGATTTAGGAATATTGTACACTACTTAGCAATGTGATACATAAAGCAAAGCCACAGTTCATAACATGCGTTTTAAAGTATATTGTAATAACGACCTTTTGTTTCATATATAATTAGTTAATACTAAATCAGTTATATTCAGATAAACATAGCCTGAGATATGAGCTTACTTACTGATACAAATTCTTCAAAGTTGATTTTGCCATCCTTGTTACTATCTGTCACTGCTATAATTTTTTCCACAATTTCACGGACTTTATAGCCAGGTAATGGAAGACTTGCTTCTTTGAAAAGATCTTGAAGTTCATAATCACTGACATATCCACTATTGTCAATGTCTGTAAAATAAAAAATAAAAAAAATCTCAGCTTTGTTACTACTGACATTTTAACTGCTGTTTTAAAAACACATGAGTGTAATACTGAAAATAATACATTTTTATTCTTTTGTTATTACCTTCTTGAATTTAGGCTATCTTTAGTAATAGATAATGTATAAGAGATTTGCTTAAGTATTATAATTTCAAACAGATTAGCTGGGAACCCATTTATATTTATAGTGGTTTTCTGTAGGGTGTATATGTGTCTCTGTGTGTGTGGTTATTGTTATTATATAAGCCTTTCTTGTCACCACATCTTATGTTTCACTTAAAACTTGAAGTGAACTAAGAATGAACTAAGCTCTTCAGCCAGTTCTTTCAGTATTCTAAGGTGCGGGTAGTCAAAGGCATGGTGACTGGAAGGTATTCAAATTAGTTTAAAGTTTCCTGATCACATCTCTACTGGACTGCCCCTTTTTTTCTTCTTTCACAGTCTAGGCTATTCAAAGCACCATTTTTGTATGCAAAGACAGAGGCAAAATATGAGTTGAGTTCCTCTGCTTTCTCTTGGTCATGTGTTAAGATTTCTCCATTTTGAATCAGCAGTAAACTCATCACTTCCTTTACTTTCTCTTGCTTTCAGCATGTTTGAAGAAACACAGGATTGCTAGATAATTGTCTTTCTTGCTAACCTTATCTCATTTTCTACCTTTGTTTTCCTGACTGCATTCCTTGTTTCTGAGGTGAAGCTTTGTTGACTTTCTTCGTTGTTACTTTTTCCTTCCACTTCCATAAGCATTCTTCTTTAGTCAGCTCCTTTGTGACCTGCCTATTTAACCACGCTGACTCCTTTAGATGGCTCCTAGTTTTCTTCCTCATTAATATTTTTTGAGACTCCACTGTTCTTAGTTTACTTTTCAAGAAGTTTCAGCCAATTGCAGTTATCTTTAAGATTTTCTTTCCATATTATCTTCCTTACTATTTCCATTAGTTTACTGTATTAATATTGCCCATTCTAAAAACCATGATTTAAGTTGACAGTTTTTTTCACCTGGTTTTTGTTAAATCAAAAACTAACAATGCGAGGTCACTGCACCCAAATTTTCCCTTATTTAATATCTTCAGTCTTCAGTAAGAACCAAATCTAAGGTAGTAAATTGCTCTACTTCCCACCACAACCTTTTGAAAGAGAAAATTATCACTAGAGGTGAATATGTGTAGCTCAGGGTTGAACTGTGGAGTCCTTGGGGTTCTCTGAGCTTGGTTCTTTTCTTGCAAACGTTTCATTACCCGGCTAGGTAATGTAATGCCTAGAAGCTATAGCTCTTCCCCACATACAACCTAAAGTATGGATCCGGTATGTAGATGACACATTTGTTATAATAA